ATTTTCCATTTTTTTATACAAACTCATCCCAGTTATCAAATGACTCTCCATGCTCCTGGGGAAGTCATCTTATTCTTATTGGACAGTTTTAGAATTTTTCGTCAGACTTGATTTTGGATTTAACTCTGCTATGCTAGTCCTACAACACAAACTTGTGTGCACTTGTTAATTCTGACCCCACTGGAGCCCTTTCCGTCCTGTCGATTTCTTTAGGCAGCTCCCAGTGCCTTGTTCAAAATCTTTGTCCTGGCCAGCTTTCAGAATTCTGTTCACTTCCTGAAATCTCTAGTTCTTGCCTACTCCCTTAAAGTCTCAAACCAGCGGCTTGAACTCACTGCAGAGCAGTTAGGATACGTCCCAACACAACATACTACCTGGGTTCAAATCCTGCTCTAACTTTTAATAACCATGTAACTTGAGGGCAGATTACTTAGCAGTTCAATCTAACTTCCTTTTTGTGGATAACAGAATGAAGAAAATATATGGTACCTAGTGTTGATATAAATATATATATATATATATATATGAAATGCCTGTGGCATGCTGGATAAAACAGCCATAACCACTTTTTTTTTCCCAAGTGGCACAGGATGGCCACATGCCCATCAAGCCAAATCTCCTCTATCAGAAATCAGCTCTCAAGTTGTATATCTGCAGAAATAGATTGCTCTGATAGTGCCATATGGATCAAACACTCTCAGAATCAAGTGGGGACTCCGTGGATAAAATTTGGCAGCAATAAAATAAGTTGAAAGTTTTCCTTAGAAATCCAATAAATGTTTTTGATACTTGGTTTCATCTGAAGTGTATGAATCTGAGGCTATTTTTGTAAATTTCCCACAAACAAGGAAAGCACACTTTGTCAAATCTTCCCCTTAGAGAACCTACACACACTTGGCCAGGGAACATCTCCAGGTCATTTTTCACGGAGAAACACATGATTGGCACCCTTCCTTTTCCAGAAGGAAAATTGCTGTGTTTGTTTCAGTACAGGAATAAAATGCAAGAAAAGAAAAAAAAGGGAGAGCGGGTAAGCCTTGGTGGCCAATCCATATTCAATGTTTCTTTCTTTTTAATTCAGGAAACTAATTATTTCCAAGCTCAGAGCATTAAATTTATGTTCAACACTAAGCCAGAGAACATTAGTATGGTAATAGAAAATATTTTACCAAAGTGATGGCTGTATTGAAATTTCTGTAAGTTTAATTATGAGTCATTTTCATTTAAAATTCTTTTAGCAGCAGTAAGATTCTGTCCTAAACAACAAAGACCTGTATTCAGTAACACAAAATAAAAAAGCCAAAAATGAGAGAACAACAAAAAAATGTACTGGCACAGAAAGCTTCAGAATCGGTCCAAATGCTAATGATGTTATCATGGACCTTATGTTTCCCCCTCTGCTCGTCTCAGCTTTATCACAGGGTACAGTCTCCTCAGTTTGTTGTCGGGAACTGGAGTCCCACATTTCTGTATCCTTTTCTTAACTGTTGAAAAGCCTCCTGGGGCCATGTGGTGACTCAGTTGGCTAATTCTCCACCTGCAAGTGCCAGCCATATCAATGTCAGTGTGTATCCAGGCTGCCCCACTTCTGATCCTGCTCCCTGTTTATGGCCTGGGAAAGGCAGTGAGGTGGGAGGTAGGGTGGCCTGAGTCCTTGAGCCTCGCACTTGTGTGGGAGACCCAGAAGAGGTTCCTGGCTCCAGCTCCAGCTCCAGTCGTTCTGGCCATTTGGGAAGTGAAACATGGGATGTACGATCTTTCCTTTTTTTGTTTCTCTTTCTGTCTCTGAATGTGTCTTTCCAACAAAAATTGAAAAGGCTTAAAAAAAAATTTGAAAAGGCTTTTTACGAAACAGTCCAGCAAGCTACTGGTCAAGTCTACCTTGGGTCTACGATTTGAGTGTCAGTCATTGGCAAGAGCAGTCAATTACTCTGTGTAGCCAGACTAAACAGTCAAGTTGCCAGGGAGATTGATTGATTGATTCTATCTGCTGTTTTACACTCTGAATAACTACAATAGCCAAGGCTGTCCAAGCTGAAGCCAGAAACCTAGAACTCCTGCTTGGGCTATTCTTCACTGCTTTCTAGGGCACATTATCAAAGTGTTGGATTGGAAACAGAGCAACTGGGATACAAACCAGCACCCATGTGGGATGCCAGTATTGCAGGTGGTGACTAGCCCATTGAACCTTAATGTCAGCACCAGGACTCTTTCGTTTTGCTTATACGTAAGCAGGATAAATTCCTGGACTCTGGGAACTCCCTCACTAAGCATTACAGAATGGCAGTTCTGGTCAGAGGGTCGCTGTCTTATATCATAGGACCAAGCTTATGTTGTCATTAACCATATATGACTATTAAATTTAAATGAATAATAATTCAGTAACATTAAAAATTCAGTTCCTCATAGCTGCTGGTTTCCAGGCTAATGATGATGGACTAGCAGTGGTATGCAAAGATTCCACCCCTGCAGGATGTTCTAGCCACAAAGCTCACTCTGGCTTCTCCCCACAAGGCTCGTTTACCACTGGAAACCTTCATTGATTATGATCACACCGCTGAGTTCCCCAGGCAAATAGACAAAGAGGTCAACAGATCTCCCTAAGAGCCTTGGCACTTTGGCAAAACTATTAAAATTGAAAAAGCATGTTGTTCAAGAAAATTCTGGAGGATTTTTAGGATAGATTGATGTCCTACAAAGCACTTTATCTGATTTCAATAAATAGGATCTGCTTGATTTTGCCCAACCAAAGTATCAATAAGCATGTTAACAAACGTTCTATGACTCCAATGAAAGGTTGTAGAATCAGTAACAGTTTAAAGAGGGTGGAAAAAAATGACAAAACTCAAACTGGGGATCCTAAGACCTGGATGACAGGTCCATTTGCTTTGGGGTAGCTTCTCTGCTTCTAAGGGGAGTGCAGGAAAGCTCCAGGCTTCTCATTTGTAAAACAAAACTAACACAAGCCCAGTAAGATTCTCTAAGTAGTTCACTCACATAGTATAGTAGTTATATAGTATAATACTGGTATAGTATATAAGTAATATACAATGTTTTACGGAGTATAAAATGGGCCAATGTGCTCAGAATGATGTTTGATACACAGAATTGATTGAAAACTGCACAGCAAAGGGCAATGACAGTTCTACAGGACCCAGTGTGAAGGAGGGAGTCTGAGGGCTGTCGGGAATACTGATCACCCTAGTCCCCAGAAGTCCTCAGCCCACAAAGGAAGAGGGAGGAGTTGAGACCACAGGAGTCCTGCGATTCTACTGCTCGCTCTCTTGTCTTCCCCTCCCTGCCACTCTCATTTTCCCTCTACCTGGCTGCAGTAGGGACTTTTCTTCCAAGAGTTGTTGCTTTAAAAATAGAAGCTAGTGATACAAATGTGTATGTGCAGTTCTTGGAGAACTAACTAATAAATGATACCATCGGAATGTGCAAAAACTGCAATCTTCGTGTTAGGGCCTTGTGTTGTAACGACTGCATGACTAGGCCCATTGGGACTCACTCTGCTGGTTTGGTATGCCTTAGGTTTATCAAACACTAAAACACATGTGAACCCAACGGTGGCTTTTATTTTTCCTTCTGACAAATCTCAAAGGTCTAATGATGATTACCATGCATGGAGTTAAAGAGCATGGAGAAATCCTGAATATGTTAATTTGACTTGACAAAAACTGAATATGAGCCAGAAAGAATATATAATATATATAAGTCTCATTAAGCTGTCATTACTTGAAAAGATGGCTTCTAGACAAATAAACACCCAAATCTCACCCTTGCAGCTCCCTCTGAGAAACACATTCAACTCCAATCTCCTATCCCCACACATTCTGCTGACTTTAAAAAGAGAATTATGGGTGAATAAGAAAATGAGAATCAGGTAATTATAATTTTGAAAAAGAAAACACACTACATTGATTGGATTGCTAAAAAAAAAAAAAAGTAACTCTCCTTTAATATAATTGACTTCTTCAGAAAGTCAAAGTATTTTGGGGTCTAAATTTTTATTGCTTTAAAAATAAACTGGAATTTGAAAATTTACTTTCATCTGCTCCCTAAAGCTTGAGGCGGGGGCGGGGAGGGGAGCTCAGATTTCTTTTACAGTGTTCAGCCACTGGTCTTATTCAGCACAGCATTAAAAAGCTAGCCCAAACAAGCTCAGTCTTCAGGCTGTCTAGTGGGAATGCCTTTGGTATCTTTAAGTCAATGTGTTAATCACTTAAAAAAAAAAAAAGACAAAGAAGGAAATTTTGTTGCTTGGAAGAGGAGGTACATGAGACTAGGATGAAGAAAATCAAAGCCTCCACTAGGGCAACGTGCACTTCCTTCAGCAGGGCAGCAACCTGATTGACACTGTAGCCTGGAGAAAGAACACAGGACCACCATCAGTCCATCCCACCAAGCAGCCTGGCCGAGTCACCACCTTAAGCTTTATATAGTCTTAGAGTGGGAGTGGATCTCTCATAAAGGCAAAATCTCACTCTCGTGCTCTCTTGCCCTTCCACCTGTCACCACAGGTTGAAATGGCACAAAGTATCCTACCAGTTGCCAGCACTGTGCACTTGGGCTTCTCAGCCTCTACACCCATGAGACAAAGGCATTTCTATTGATTATTGACTATCCAGGTTCAGGTATCTTGTGATAGCAGCAGAAACAAAGACTAAGCCACTCCCAGATTTGTTTCCATAACTTTCTCCACCCCTCCTTCCAGGCACAAACATTTCTTGCCAGCATCACCTTCTTGAAGTGATGCGGTACACCTTTTTCTACACATATGAGGAGGTGGAAACACACCTACATGCATGGCAGACCTACATCAAAAACAACTGGAGTCTACATGGGGGAGAGCCACTGGCATCTTAGAGCTTGAGGAGAACAGGAAACCCAACTCTGGCTGGGACATGACTTACCTTCAGAGGGTAAGGTGAGACAATGGCCATGCACCCATGGGGAACCTACAGGGGGACAGAGACTTACCAACAACAAAAGGATATTGGGCGACAAGGGCAGGGCAAAGCTGGGTATTTGGCATAAAAACACAGTGCATCAGAACAAAGTCATTTAAGATAGAATCTGGAGGGGAGAAAAGCAGAGGAGGAAATTAGGTTACTGTGGAAGCCAGAGTGCCTATTCATTTGTTCATGGCTAATGGTTCTTATACATTGGTCTAGGATATGATTTTACCATACATAGAAGCACTTGATAGACAAATAATGGTAAGAATAGCTTGAAATGAAAGCTACAATTTTTAGAACATTAAAAAGAGCCAATATTATATAATAGCATTAGTCACCTTAGTCTCAAGTAATTTTCTTGAAATAAATTATTAAGGAGTCTTTCACCAGGGTGGTGCCATACACACAGAATAAAAACATAGTTGTTTCCCTGTCTACTTTATGGCATACTTATTTTTCAGCATCTTCATTTCTTTCTGAATTTATCCCCAGAGGAGTAGATGAAAGATAAGAAGGTGATAAAATGGCCGGGGAAAGAGATAGTAAAAGCAGAGAGATGATGAAGCATCAGAGATCAGAGATGGAAGCATCAGAGAAGGATGGGAAGCAGCCAAAGCTCTCCAGTAGGAGAAAATGGTGACCATTCAACCGTGAGGGGAGGATCCTCCCTGCAAAGACAGCATGACCCAGCTGGTCCAGGTGGCAGCACCCTTTGGCGCCAAATCTAGGAGCCGGGAGTATGCCTATTGCCACTGAGAACTCGAGGCACCATGCGGTGATTCAGTTAGTAAACAGAACCCTGCTGACTGAGACTTGGGAAACTCAAATAACTCTTCAAAATAGAAAGTGATGAGAAACTCATCACTCTGTATGCTACATTTCCAGTGTCTGCGTTATTAATGACTTTGTATTGGCAAACTATCAGTGACTAAAGGTGTCACCATTATGCTCATTTAGGTATAGTGTAATCCCAGGCGATTGCCACTCAGTGTCACCAGTCATTCTAGTCCGATCATACTGAACCAGAGAAGAAGCATAGTAGGTGCCAGATAGGAGCTATATAAAACTTTGTACTTGAAGCAAAGAAGACCCATGGCTTCTCTGAGTTTAATATCTGGAGGCACTTTGGCAGGCTGTTTGTATTCTCTGGCTGCTTGCATGCCAGCCAGAAGACCTGGGCAGCACAGGCGGGGGAATTCTGCAAATGCATTTGACATGGGTGGTCTACGACGGGGAGCTGGTCCCCAGCATGGCCAACCTTCCCAAATTCACATTTCATGGTCATTTTCTTGTCTCTACTCACATGCAGCAACATTTGAGAACTGATTTTTAAGCAATTGTTTCCTGCTAGAAAATAATTTCCCAAGTCACTTTGACTAATGCTGGCCCACAGAGGTCAAAAACTTAGGAAGCTAATGGCGCTTAGGCTAAAAAAAAAAAATTGATGCTCTGGTAAACTAGGAGAATGGCTTGTCATAACTCAGTAATATTTGTTTCTGTGATGTAGACAAGTTTCACTGTAACTCTGGCATTCCTCATGATATGGCTAATTTATACACATTCTGGATCCTCCACTTCACCATATCTACATGCTATATGTACCTGCTCTAAGATTCTCTTTAATATCCAGGAAAGTAATGGGGGACAATAGCACCTTGAATTTATGAGAAAGACATTCATTTGTTTGTTATCCACAACCATGAATACTACTTCTAACTTAAAAAATAATCAGAAAAGCAGTGCATGAAAGCCAATATTCATTATAGTCTCATACACACACACACACACACACACACACACACACACACACACACACACACGAAGGATCACAAATCCTACCCCACGTACTAGCCATAGAATGTTTACAGTCTTCCATTTTTAAAGAAGCAATCACCCAATCTCCATTTCCCCAAGAAGTGACTTTCAAAGGCAGGCTGCACTTGTTCTCCATGGGCAGGAAGGATCTGTTAGATTTCTCCTGTCTAAGCTGGTAGCATCTTCCTTCTGAGCCAATCTGAAATGCAACGAAGACTCTGCCTCTTGCACTGAGCAACCATACATCCTAGGCAGCTGTGTTTTGTCCCGATTTGTGGTTCTGGACCTCCAGTTTTGAGATTTCATTTGCCTCTTGAGAGCACTTTCCTACTATCTGGTCTCTCAGAGCGCTTCTCTATTCTCTGCACACACCTGTCTTTTTCTTTTTTCTTTATTTTTTAAATTTTATTTTCATTGGGAAGTCAGAGAGGAGGAGAGACAGAGAGGAAGAGCTTCCATCCACTGATTCACTCTCTCTAAGTGGCTGTGACAGCCTGAGCTAAGCCAATCCAAAGCCAGAGGTCAGGAGTCTCCTCCGGGTCTCCCACATAGGTGCAGGGTCCCAAGGTTTTGGGCCATCCTTGACTGCTTCCCCAGGCCACAAACAGGCTGCTGGATAGGAAGTGGGGTTGGTGGGATTAGGATTAGTGCCTACATGGGATTCTTGTGCGTTCAAGGCAAGGACTTTAGCTGCTAGGCCACTGCTCAGGGCCCCACAGTTGTGTTTTTCTAGCGAAGCCCTTTATCAGAGTCCTCTCGCCTGGATGCCCTTAACTACTTCCAATGCTTTAGTGTTGTTTTTGAGACCCTCCAAGAACTGTACCCCAAATTCTTCCGCCTTTTCTTCCTCCTACCTGAGAACATGCCAGCCCTGCAGAAACCAGGGTCCTCCTTCTTCCTTGCCCTCAGCTGGTCGGGCCAGGAAGCTCCTACCACACTCTGCTGTGCTGATGTTTCCTGCATATTCCTTTGAGTCTCTAGCTAATTATCAGTTCCCTGAGGGCAGGAAGGGGCTTTCCTTTTCACAGGCCTAGCCCAAAGCATCCAGTGCAGCTCTTGACTGCCAAGATGCGCAAGGAACTGAAGACCCAAACTGGGGCTAGCATGTGCTGGGATTCCATACAGGTGCCAGTTCATGTCTCAGTTCCTATACCTCCCACTCAGCTCCCTGCTTGTGGCCTGGGAAAGCAGTAGACGATGGCCCAAAGCCTTGGGACCCTGCACCTGTGCGGAAGACCTATAAAAATGCCCGCTTCCTGGCTTTGGATGGGTTCAGCTCTGGTCGTTGAGGTCACCTGTAGAGTGAACCAGCAGACAGAAAATCGGTTTCTCTTTTTCTCTGTAAATCTGCCTTTCCAATAAAAAAAAATAAATAAATCTTAAAAAGAAAGTAGATCCAGGGCCCAGCGCGGTGGCGCAAGTGGTTAAGGTCCTTGCCTTGCATGCCCGGGATCCCATATGGGCGCCGGTTCTATCCCGGAAGCTCCATTTCCCTTCCAGCTCTCTGCCTGTGGCCTGGGAAAGCAGTTGAGGACGGCCCAAAGCTTTGGGAACCTGCACCCGCGTGGGAGACCCGGAAGAGTCTCCTGGCTTCGGATCGGCATAGCATCGGCCCGTTGCGCTCACTTAGGGAGTGAATCAGTGGACGGAAGACCTTCCTCTCTGTATATCTGCCTTTCCAATAAAAAAAAATAATAATAAAAATAAATCTTTATAAAAAAAGAAAGTAGATCCACACAAAATCTAATGAGGAGGTGAAATTAGAAGTCAGTGGTAAAGTCCTCTTAAAAGGTATATACCACTAGGAATGCTACTTCTCCTTGACTATATAGCACAGATCAATTGCAACTGATTTGAGCCATCACTAAGGGGTTGAGAGAACCTGTGAACTTCTTTTAATGAGCAACACTCCTCTGTGGAGCACAGTGTTCTGAAAATATTAGTTCATGACACCATTCTGAGACAGGCCAGTAACATCAGGAACCAAGGAGAAAGTTGAATGGGGGGCTGTTCCAAGGTCATACAAAACGTGGAAACCAAAGTGCCAGCGTGGACAAGGTCTTGAATGCTCAGCTCACTCTAAGGAGGGTCCTGTGTTAAAATGGTTAAAATAATTTATTTCTTTGAAAGAGTGGAAGGAAAAAAGGGAAGGGGTGAGGAAGGGAGGGAGGGAAAGGGAGAGGGAGGAGGGAGGGAGGGAGGGAGGAGAGGGAGAGGGAGAGAGAGAGAGAGAGAGAGAGAGAGAGAGAGAATGTCGTTCTCCCTTCCAATGTGTTGGTTCGTTCCCCAGATGCCCACAACATCTGCAACCAGGCCAGGACAGTGTTATGAGCCAAGAATTCAAGGACCCAAGTCTTTGAGTCATTTCTGCTGCCCTCAAGGACCTGCACTGGCAGAAAGCCAGAGACAAGAGCTGGAGTTGGAAATCAAACCTAGGTACTCACTCCAGCATGGAAATCAGTCATCTTGATTGCTAGGTTCAATTTTGCCCAAATGAATTAGATTTTACCTTTCCCAAAACGTGTGACCTACGCAGATCACCAGTACCCAAAATGTGACCTCACTTGGAAATAGGTTCTTTGTACATGAAGTCAAGGTAAGGTGTGGGGATGTGTATGGGTTCTAATCCATTATGACGAGGCATTATCGTTAAGGGGGAACAAGGACTCAGAGGCAGATAGGTATGTAGGGGAAGAGACATGGGGTATACGGAGGTGAGGGTGCTGCTTCTATGCCAACGGTGGCCAGCAAAACCAGCAATTGCCAGGAGAGAAGCACAGAACAGGTTCCATCCTGGCAGAGCTCTCAGAAGGGATCAGCGCTGCTGCCAGCTTCCAGAACTGTGAGACAATAAAATTCTCCTGCTTCCAATACCAGTTTGTGGTGCTGTGGGATGGTAACCCCAGCTACATTCTGGGGAAGCCCAATAATCTACAACCACAGAGAGAGTCAGTGGATTCCTCACTGGAACAAGGCTAGATCTTTCACGAAAGCAGCATCCTATGTTTTATGGAAGTCAGGGAAAGTTAAATAATAATCTGATAGATGGCTAGGGGAGGTGGGATCTGAATGATAACTTCTGACAAAACTATAGAAAACCACTCCTAATTCTTACAAAGGTGTTGAAGGTGTCCAGAGAGTAGAGCTGCGACTGGAGAGCTTGGGCAACATATATCATGTATTCAAGTTATCTGTTACATATATATACACACACACATACACACATATACATATTTATGTATATAATTTTTTTACAAGGCTATCCTTGTTTGCTTACTTGGTTCATTCATTCATTCGAGAGGCATACAGACAGCTCCCATTTGTTGCTTTACTCCCTCAATGCCCACATTAGCTGACACTGGGATGGGGCCAGAGCTGGGAGCCAGGAACTCAATTGGGGCCTCCCATATGGGAGGCAGGAATTCAATTACGTAAGCAAGTGCCACTGCATCCCAGGGTCTGTCAGCAAGGGAGGTAGAATTAAGAGCTGGAGCTGAGTAGAGGTACTTTGATGTGAAATGTGGGCATCTTAACTGGCATCTCACCCACTAAGCCAAACATCTACCTCCCATGCGTGAATTTTTTTTAATTAATTATGTTGCATTATGTGACACAATCCCATGCATGAATTTAACAGACACACAAAACTGGTCTACAAATGTACCTGTTGCTTCATTTAAAGCTGGCTCGAGGCGTATTGTTTCTAGAAAATGTTCTAAAATTTTTTCAGGTGTTCCTGACATCACAGTATACCTAGATAAGAAATGAAAAAGCCATTAGTTTTTCAAAAAACAAGGAAATCGTTAAATTGCTTTAATTTTATTTTTCTATTTGAGATCTCAGGGAACCACACTGATTGGCTTGTGGCCGATACACTCTTCAGGGCAAATGAGACCATGTACCCAGCCAAGGTCACAGGAGGTAAGATCAGAGGCACAAATGAAGGAAGCTACAAATGCTGTTCTTTTTTCCCGGCGTGGAGCTTCAGTAATCTTGGAGAGCAGCAGTTCCGGCAGGCTAGAAGCTGAGACACTTCAGCTTCACTCCACCAGGAGATGGAAAGGCACATGGAACTCTGGGGACAGCAGGTCTAGCGGGGGAGCAGGTGAGGGAGAAAGGACAGGGAACCGGGTTACCCATATACGGGTGACTCTTACCAAAACTGCAATCCCACACTGGATTCCCCTGCCTATTTCTGGAACATTCTGTCTTTCCCAACTGTACACTGGCATGGGCTTTGGAAATGCAGCTAATAATAAAACAGGAGAAAACACACCTCCCTTGCCCCCTGCCAATGAAAAGCAAACAAACGCCAGTGGTGCCATGAAGAGGAAAGGAATCAGGAGTGGAAAATCCATTTCACGTACTCCAAGGTCAAATATAAGTTATTCTTGGGGAGGGATGAGTTAGTTATGATTTGAGATGATTCATCCAGGAGGTTCTCCAATCAGAATGGGAGGATTTATTTTTTAAATAGAATGCAGGCTTACTTCGAAGGCATGTTCAAGATGGAGACAAAAGCGTGACAGCCAGCTGGAGGCAAAGCACATGAACGTGTTCTGGGTGCTAGTCCCTCCCCAACGCTCTGACTTTGCCTTTCCTCTCGGCATTTTACTCGGCACAAAATGACCAGGAGGAAACACGACGATGGAAACTTATCTGCTGCGTAGGACACAATCAGCCCCAGGATGACTTCCTGTCTCGCCCGCCCCATGCACCCCTTTCCCTGCCTGTCTGGGACCTTGAGGACAAGCTGCAATCCCCAGGATACCTACACTCTACTCAGGTCTAAACCTCCCGCCTGGGAGGTGGGAAAGAGACAGTTCTTTCCCCCTAGAACCCTGTGCATGTGAACACGGAGATGGGTGAATGAAGTAACCTGGGAATTGAGTAAGGGAGCAGACTGATTTATGTAGAAGCTAGCTGTTGGCTAAGACCAGATATTGTGAGGTCACACACTGGCCAGAAGGAAGCCACCGAGTTAAGTCTTTGAGGAAATCTGTCTTTAGCACTCATGTCGCCAGTGGATAGAATGAACGGTCTACAGAAGTGTGGTTCAAGTCAGGAAGACAGGAGGTGGTTCCTTCCACATGCAATCAATCAGTATTTCAAGCAGGGACGGGACATACATAGAAGTGACTGTCAATGCTTCAAACGAAACTGCTGCTCAGTGCATGCAGTAATCCCCGACACACTCAGTTCTCTTACTCCCGGCATTTATTTTCATGTATTTGAAAGGCAGACATAGAGAGGGCAGGGTGATCTTTCTGGAACTTCAGGAGCTGGGAGTTGAGCAAGTCAGCCCAATATGGGATGCTGGAGTAGTGGCCTAACCTCTGAATCAGGACACGTGCCCTGGAGCAGAATCTGAACAGAAAAATTCTCCAAGCCATTAAAAAACGTGATCTACAAAGGAGTTTTTCTGTTGGTTGGTTGGTTTTTTAAAACAAGTGTTACTTAAGTAAAAATATAAATGCATAATGAAAAAATGTGTTGGGGAAACCTGGTTTGTGATTGTCCATGGCCTTGGGCAGCTGTTGCTCACTAGCTAGCTAAGAGAGCTGATGTATCAGAGAAATACCTTGCCAAAAGCTTGGCTCAGATCAAAGCAGGGTTTCACTTTCCAGTATTCTTCCTTTGGAAACCCCTTACTATAGCACCATGTCTGGTCAAAAAGAAGTAAGACTTGGGTGCCAAGCCAGATGGTCTGTCACCTCACTGGCTACAAAGTGGCTTTTCTGAGCACTATTCATCCAGTCAGCTAGAGAATCACCCCCAAACAACCAGATCTTCCTTTTGTTGCCTATGACTCCCTCTAGTGGTCATCTGTGCTGCCTGCTCATGCCAGCCCCCCCACCCCCAGCCGTCCATCCAAGTTCACAGGAGGCTGCGAGGAGTGTGAATATTCTGTTGGGCCAGGGAGTCCTGTGTGATGTGGGCTCACGTCATAGCTTTGTTTCATGCTAGACATATACGAAGCCCCTATGCCAGTTCAGTCAACAATCAATCAACAGTTGGTTGTGCTGTATCGGATATGAGGTTTGAAGTTTGGAACTGAACACCTTCCAATGCTAGACACCAATGCTAGTGCCAATGAAGACACTTCTACCAGCACCGGAAACAGAAAAGAACCTAGGCAGCATCTTCCTCCAAACAGGATAGACTTGAGCAGCAAGAAAACATCTCAGAGAAAAACAGCATGTAACGAGAACATCTTCGATCCATCCTCGCTTCCCTCCTTTCTTCCTCCCTTCCTCCCTCCCTCCCTTTTTCCTTCCTTCCTTCCTTTTCTTATTCCCCAAGACCACAGAGCACACAAAATGGCAAATGTGTGAAGTTTCTATAATAATTCATAGCCATCACCTGAAATGATCTCGTTACTAACATTTCAGTACCACACCCAGAGCTGAGTGGCAGTTTGGCAGGTTTGAAATGTAAAAAGCGAGTTAGAAACATAACACAGTGACCTTCTTGGAAGTCACAAACCACATTTTGAGGAGACGGAGACCCTAAAGCAGCTGTAATATGGTTGTGGCCGTGGCATCGAAGCGTCCAGAACATGAGCTCCACATTCATGTACATAGAGCTCCTTTTCTACTCAATTTAAACTCAGGAAAACAGCACAAGAAACGACCCCTCAAAAGAACAGACTTTCATCCTTTCCAGAATGGATTTGGTGTGGTAAGATTTTGTGTCCACTGATATACCTTAGCGACTTACTGTGAGCATGGACACAATTTTGAATTATGTTAGGCAACCTGGACCGAATAACAGGGCACAAAGTGATAGAGAGGAAAATCAGATACAGGCCTAAAATAAACTCAATGCACGTGGTATCTCCTTTCGCAGACCCTGTGGTTTGCTTTCATAAGAAATCTATATTTGGAGGACACCCTGAATACGAGTCACTGAAGCAAGCCAGTTCTTTGGATTCCTCCCTGAGACAGGAAGGGGTGAAGAAAGGGGGATCTCCAGGGAAACGTCTCTGTCAGAGCTTCCAAGATCAAGGGGAATTCTCCAGACTCACCTATTTCATCAGCATCATTTCCCTGAGATATCTGAGGCATTATGAAAGAATGAGGAGTGATCACTGCACCAAGTCAACTTGGGACCATGAAACATAATGAAGTGAGCCTTTCCACACATCATCTACAAAAGTCTCCCATCTCATCCTCTTCAGTGCACTGGGAGGACAAGTGTTCCAAAGATGTTGGCAAGAGCATTTTCAGGAAGGGAGAGTAGTAACAGGTAGATTGATAAGGACACTAAATGCGAATATTATCATCTTACAAAAAGAAGGACAGCGTTTTGTTTACTGCTTTTTATGGGAGCCCTTTGGCAATACATCGATTAGCAATATTTATTTTCCAGGGTGTTTCCAAAAGTTTGTGGATAAGTAGAATTAAAGAGTTTATTTGGTGCCAAAAATTTTTGAAATTTATGCACAGCTTTGCCACAATATGCTGTTTTTTTCCCCATAAACATTTTGAAGATGTGGTGGATAGTGTCGAGCACTTTGTATTTACACTTGTCCCTCAGGGCTGTAGGGAGAGCTTTCAGGGCTCCTGGGGTGCCCACGTCTCTCACCTGTGCATCCTTCCATGCATTCCAAGGCATCTCCAGATGACTTATACTACTTGATATAATGTAAATGCTATACGACTAGTACTCATACCGTGTCATTTAGAGAACAACAAGGAAAAAATATCACCATGCATGGATGCAGTTTTTCCCCTATTTTTAATCAGTGGATGACTGATTCTGCAAATGGAAATGCTGTGGATACAGAAGCTTAACTGTAAGATATTTTGTTAAAGCTTGGATGCAGAAGGAACCCAGCTATGAAAGTGGGTCAAACTGCACCCCACTCCAATCTTAGAGACCCTGGGCCAGAACCGTGCTTCTCTGAGCCTGAATTTCTCCATCTTTTAAAAGCAGGCATAAGAAGGATTAGATCAAATCAGCAAAATTAGATTAAATGTATATATTCAAGAGGAGTGTGGTTCTTCTTGCCCTCTTTGCAAATATGTCGATTCATCTAGATGAAAGTGTTCAAGCCTTAGGGCTTTAGTCCAAACCACAAAAATTCATCAGTTAGCCACTTACTTGGCAAACAAAAGAAAATTATTTGAGATCCATTCTCCTTAAACTTACTGTTTGGTGATATTTCTTTACAGAGTCCACTGGTGTGTTATTTTTTTTTTGAATGAAACTAAGATCTAAAATTAATCCCCATTTAAAAAATTTGATTCTGCAAGTTAGTATGACTTCTTCAGATCACAGTCCCTGATTCTTCTGTAGGAGATGGTCTGAAAAAGAACTGGTTAAACAGAAGATCTAAACAATGTAGTGTAAAATCCCTCTTCATGTGAGCAGGAGTGAGGAGGAATGAGAGAAAAAGAAAAGTCCTGGGCTGCCTGCAGTCCAAAGTCTGCTTTAGATTTGCAATCTGGGTTTCTACCAAGGAGCTTTTTTTCCTGACAACAAGATGAAAACATTTGATGAGAGATTCTATTTATGACATGCAAATGCCAGGGTTTTCCCTCACCTGGGAGCCCCATGCCTCCCTGGCGATGCCCTTCCTACCGCCATTGTTCTCTCCCGTGCCTTCCGTTCCAAAGACTGTGTACGGGGAGAGGACTGGGGCGGGGGGGGGGGGGGAGGTGTAATAATCTCTGCAGAAGGACTCTTAGGCAGCACCATGCTCCACACGCTGCCAGAAATGGACACATTATACTCCACAAGATGTGTGATTAGTCAATAGAGGGGAAAAAGCACACACACGGCTGCCTGCCACAAAAAAGGGAGAACACGCTATTGTAGAAATGATGATACCAAGTGGAAAGGTTAATCACAGTCTGGCAATTACAGCATTGGAGGCAAACATACTTCTGCTGAGGCTGTGAGTTTCCTTGATTGGAAGCTCTGTTCCCCGCTGGGACCTTCTCCAGCACCAAGACATCTTGGTCATGTTCTTTCAGTCTGACTGTGTTTGCCTCCACGTCCTGCAAATACAAATGACACCACATGCAGATGCTGCCGCTTCCCCAGACAATGACAAAGATTCCAAATGCTTCAGAAACTCATTTGGCGCTTGTGATGCTAATTGTTGCGTCTACAAATTAAGTCATTTTCAAAGTCAAGGGCTGGAACGGTCAGGGAGAGGACCAGATGAAGCTGGAGCCAAGTGCTTAAAGAACTTCGATTCAGAGAAACAACAGAGGAGAGCAGTGGTGACTCCGTACCCGGCAGCACTGGGAGAGAGGACAGCCCAGCAGGGAGACCGTGGGGCGGAGAAGCACCCAGCTTTGCCAAGGTCCTGTTTCTTTCTGTGCTTGATTCCCCTAGGGGTGGCATCTTTGTCTCTAATCAAAAGGTCCCTTTAAAAAAAATCAGATTGAAGTTTAAAACCCCTTGCCAGTTATTTGAATAGGTTTATAAAGTTGTATCAGTGATAATGGTCCTAAGCTGATTCCTTCAAATAATGCTTTGACCGAGTATGACCTTTATGCAGGTCAACTTTAAAGAATAAAGTTGGCCCCTCAGCTTCAAAAGCAATTAATTTTTTAAAATGTCATGTGCTTGTTCTCAATGTTTGGTCCCCATTTTGAATGAGGTAAGACCCAAATAGAGTCCTATGCGGTATTGTTTATGTAACTCTGTGGTATACATTTTAAAACTTCCTTTGTATTTAAGACAATACATTCCTAAAATAAACCTTGTCATAAGATACTGCCACCCAAGCTAAATGCTTCAGGCTTCCTAGGGACAGATGTCTGGACATTACGAGAGGGGGTGAGGGACATCGTCACCCTTCCCAGCAGTCCACACAATCAGTTCTCCACCAGCCACAGCAGAGTCATCTGTCCCAAGGGACCGGGGACTGTGTTTTGCAAACATCACTGCATCTCACCTACACCTTAGCAAACTTAGAGTAAGCTCATCTGCAGAGTCAACTTCAAACGCAATTTGATGGCACCTTCCTTCACCCCAGTGTTTCTTCATCTACTTGCCGACGTCATAAACCCCTTTAGTTTGAGACAGTGGGAGGTAAAGCACTGAACATTAAAAACACTTGCTTGGAGTAACCGTGATTGATGTCCATTCCCACTGACTTAGTGTCACTCATAAACCAAAAAGGTGTGATAAAAGGAGAAAGGTTCAGGTTTAGGAAGAGAGGAGATGGAGACTGGGAGAGTATAGGATAGAGAAAGGCACGGGGCACAGGGGGCTGTCACTGGTTGGAAGAATAAGGTGGGGAAATGTACAAAAAAAGACATGTAAGATGTTAGAGAGAAACTTCTCAGACTTCCACATCTGCCAAGACAATCCTCCCCTCCTCGAGCCCTCATGGTGCAGGTGTGTGCAGAAGTACTGGGGTCCTGCTCAGCACCCCACACTTGCAGCCTTCTTAGAGGATGGTCCTGGTACCCAGTTCACACCAGCACATGGAACATACCAGTGTTGTTACAAAGGCCCCTCATCCTAGAGCATTCGTTCAGCATGGGACTGCTCAAGTAACACCACAATTGGGCATTTTATGGCAAAAGAAAAACACTTAGCCTTGGACTCACCCTCAGGATCCGGTTGAAATCCTCCTTGTCCACTCTTAGAAAATGGCAGTTGTCTTCTCGCAAGACAATGGAGGCAGCTCGTGGAGCATCGTTCACCAGTGCTAGTTTGCCAAAGTCATCTCCTTCATGCAGAGTGCACACCACTCCCTGGGGAGAGCAAAGCCTTCAGATGAGGACGGTCACTGGAATAGCACAGTCACCTGCTCCTCCACAACACCCTTCCCTTAACACAGCAGCCACCCATGAGTAGCACAGTGTGCCATATGGAAAACATGTAATCACAGCCCCATGCTTCATTTTTCTATCGCTGAGCAATATGGACTATGGCTTAACTATAGATATGTAAGGATATTTTAAAATTATTTGTGGATGATAGAATGAAAAAAATGCTTGCTTTGGTTCATTCTCTCAAAATTCCATGCATAAAAGGAGTCTTTTAAAAGTTCATAAAAGTACACCTTATGAAAAACTAGGTGCAACTCTCAATATTTTGCACTGAACCAAAACTTAGCTTTTCATTCCCTTTTTCAGGAAATTTTTGAAGTTCCCTCCTATATAGTAACCGCTAAGGAGAGGAGTCCCAGAAAGTGCAGTATTGCTCTGGGTCTGACAACTGAGCTAGTGTATAATTATAGATGGGAGGATGTCCTTTCTAATGCTGTCTTCCACATGGAGACGCAACACTGCTGCAAGCTTCATTGTAACATTGCTAAAACTTAGAGCTATGCTAGTAAAGGGAGCTGAGAGGGGTTTCAAAAGAAAAAGATACACATATATATACCTTGCCATAAATGACTACATTCACAGATCCTTTGAGAATAATGTACCAGGATGTTCCTTCTTCCCCCTGGTTAAACACTAAACACAAAAAGATGAAAAGACATATGACAAGAATAGAAGCACATCAATATAAATTACAGCTTATCAAATCATCAGTTCTAAATCCCCAGAATTATGCATATGTGAAATAAAAAAATTTATTCAGGTGGAATAGTATCTCCTTTCCTATAAAACATAAAGGAAGAAAAACACTGCACAGTTCTCATGCCCTAAAAGCCGGTTTTCACCAGCTATCGATTCACCAGCACTCCGTTCCTTAAAGCAGTGCACATTTCCCCCACAATTCAGCAAAGCATGATGTGACAGAAAATAGTTTTTAAAAATAATCTGACCAGTAATGTGAAGTTTGAAAACATACAAATCAGCGTTATACATTGTTTATACAGAGAGACCTATATGTTGTTTTTAAAAAGCAGGTTGGAACCATAATCACTTGTAGAGTAGGATTTCCTTTGCAGTGGGAAGAAAAATGGTTGCAGGTGGGAATAAGGGACTGTATAATCTCCTTTAGACAACAAGAAAAAAAATAAGGCATGATGGTACTGGTTGATAGGATTTTAAAAAATATTCTCTATCTTTGTTTGAAATACTTCATAGAAAAAGGACATTTTTACTACAACAGATACTAATGTCAGAAGTATCACCTTTGGGAACTGACGGCAAAACATTTTGAAATACAATTTTAAGAACATCTTGCTTTGAGCATTCACACTTCTTGCGTATTTGACTACCACATCTCAACCTAAACCAACAAGACTCTTCAAAGTTTTTCCTTAAAAGCAGTGTCCCCAGATTTGTTCAGCTTGGGAAGTACCAGCTTAGAAACAGTGAACTTTGCTGATTGCAGAACTTTTAGCATGTCAGATGCTTCTCTAAGACAGGTTAGAGAAGGTGGCGATGCTTTACCTTTGTAGATCCTTGACTTTATAAGAAAACTTTTGCAGGACCAGTGGGAAATGGGACCTTCAATAATGTGGCCCACATCTGTTCACACCAAATGTCAATTTCCTCCTTCTAACAAGAACTAAGTTAGACCTTGAATTCTGAAGAGATACAAAGTAGTGGTACTATCTATGTAGTTAGGACAGAGGCATTCTCTCAGGCTTAGAATCTACAGCAGAAATGGGAGAAGAGGCAGGATAGCCCATACACTGTCTTGACCAGCCATCTCAAGAGAGAAGCTTAGTTCTTTCAAACCTGCCAGTAGCAGCAAGGTCTCCGTGAAAGGCACTGTCCAGGGTCCACCTGGAAGAACAGCATCTTGGTTCCTTTCTCTGAGCCAGCAGGGACAGGGCCCAGTGAGGCTCTGACTGGAAATGCCTGCCAAGCTGCAACTGGGAAATTGCCACTCTGCTCAAAAGTTGGCAGATGTGGGAAATCATTACAAGTCCAGAGAGACCAACGGGCTCCCATGACACCCTGTGAGCCATTCACAGGCCAAGGGGGGGGTGGAGCATTCACCATGAGGCTTGGGTGGCACATGTTCACAGGGGTGACTGCCAGCACAGTGTTCCCTGGCAGGCTGCACTTACACACAGTCCCTCCTTTGGCGTGAGACTCAAAGATGAGCACACCTGCTAGCTCCCGTTTCACCTGGAATGGAGAGAAAAGAAGGCAATAAGATTCCAGTTGAAGGCTCTGGGGATGAGCCAGCTGTCCCTTTGCTAGCCACATGGCCATCTCTCCCTTGCTGTCTGCTGCTGTCTGTCAGGGCCACTTTGACAAGATGTGCTGCTGGGTTCTTTTTAAGATTCTATTTATTTATTTGAGAGGCAGAGAAGGAAAGCTGCCATCTGCTGGTTCATTCCACAAATGCCTGTACAAGGCCATGTCTGGGCTGGGGCCAAAGCCAGGAACTGGAAACTCAATCCAGGTCCCCACAAGGGTTCCAGAAACCCAAACCACCTGAAGCATCATGGCTGCCTCACAGGGTGTGCACTGGTCAGAAACTGGAGTAGGAAACTTGAACCAGCACTTTGGAATGGGACAAGAGCCTCTTAACCAGCAGGCTAAAAGAACTGCTCTCTTGCTAGGTTCTTCAAACTTGGACCAAAGCTACTTCCATATGAGAATAACTTTCAGACCACTCCCTTGCAGACAGTTTAAAGCATGGCTCCACACAGACCAGCCGTTTAGTCAGCCTGCCTTTCCTGGGCCGAGAAGGAGAGACATCTGCAAAATCACAGGGCATTTTTACTGCTAGTAGTTCTTTCCTGCCTCCCACAGCATCCCTGCAAGGTGTTGTAAATGTCACTATCATAAAGTTAGATAATAAAGCTTACATATGTGACCAGATGCATATTCTGAGACAGTGACAATTCCGAATTATTCCCAATAGCTAAAATCCCAAAGAATTCCCAACTAGCTAACATTCCAAAAATGGTTAACAAATTCATATTCTTTAGGGACAACTCTGTCTCTCTGTGCAGGTACAGCTTGGGGTTCCTCAGTATATAATCTATGAAAACTGAAACTACCTGCTTTTTCCCCTTAAATCGCTAACACCTACGAGACTGTGTTGCCAAGCAATTAGACTCCCAGGCAAGGAGCTATAGCTACCCCAGACTGGAAGCCAAAGATGCTGGCTATAAACATGGCATGCAGATCAAAGCTGAGCAACATTTACTGCCTCCGTGCCTGGACTGGTTGTCTTGTTAACTAGTGAGAAGAGCTAGTGGCCTTAACAGAGGGGAAATAACATGCTCTTGAACTCTCTGCTTCCTTTTGGGGAAATAAGGTAGCAAACCCAGGTGGAGCAGGCCTCTTAGGCCAGCACAATCTGTCTGCATTTCTCTCTTTCTCCCTGCAGGCTACATGGATCACAGGAGGGCTGCAGAAGCTGCTCCCAAGACCTGGCTGTCTCTTTGAGCCTGCAGGTGCCCAAGTTCTGATTTGTCAGGATGAGCACTTGCTCCAGTCCCAGTCACATCAGACTGTTTTGAGGGCTGGGTACATGCTAACATGGGGTTCCTGGTTCCCTTTTGGTGACTGTTATTGGGTAATACCTGCACGGTTTCTCAGGAGACAGAGGAGGGGATTCAGAGGCAGATCCAGCAATTCCTGCCCACACACCAAGGTACTCTCCTCATCTCGGCCCCCTAGTCCTAACAGGTCACTTAACTCAAAGTCTCCTGAACACATCGAGCTCAGAGATGGCTTACTGTGGTGGAGAGGTGGGATAAGGCTTTAATATGAAGGAGTTCTTCATAGATAATCTCCAGGTCATCTACAGTTCTCTGGCCGGGTCTGCAAGTTGAAAAAGAAGGACAAGGACATAATAAAAAAAAAAAATCAAGGCAATCAAAAAGTTTCAAGCATGGAAATCAGTTTAGGGATCACATTCAAGGATTTCTTTCCCCCATAAAAAGTTACTGGCAGAAGGATGGAGACACATGTGGTATTATCCCTACACTGATTTTTGAAAGCAATGTGGTATACAAGAAAAGGGCATGGGAGAAGAAATCCAGGGGGTACAGCTCCCTGCTCCTCCAGCCCCAGGGGCACGGGCCCTTAGCATCACGGTGCACTTGGCTAACTTGGCTCTCATGTAGATCTGAAAAGCTGCTCTTCAATTCCTCAACCCATGTCAAAACGTGTCATTTAGCACATTAGGGACAACTGACTTCATCAACTTGGCACTTGATCTAAATCCCCTGGGATGCTGTGGGCTCCCTTAGCCTAACTGGACCACAGTGCTGTGGTCACCACTGTTTTGGGTTATGTAAGCTGCTAGAGACTGTCTGCAGACACCACACTTCCTGAGCTGGCCCTGAGGACAGGAGGGCACAAGACAGGGAGCACGCAGAGAGACCCAGACTAGGAAGAGAGGGAAAGGGTTATGTCCATGCTTCCTAACTTTGCTCTGCAGACCACCTCTCTCTCCATAAAATCCATTTATGTAATACTTTTTGTTTTTAAAGTTTATTATGAAAAGAATATCCAGGAATCTGCTTTTCAGAAAGGGAGTGTTATGGATGTGCTTGCTGTAATAAGACTGAATGATGGCACCGTCTTTGGTACATGTAGTTATCTTGAAGCCACTAATGGAGTTAATTTATGTTAATGGGCTAGTCCTTGGGACTTGGTTGCCTTCTGTAGAATGAGGAGCCCTAATATGTTTTTGAAACTTAAGACCAAACTGGTTATTAATTCTGAGGATGGAGACAGTCTACACGGGCACAAGGAAGCAGCACTGACTTCCAACTACGTGCTGCAGTATGCACCACACTTATTATATGATCAGTCCTCTTTATGCATTTTGTCCTAAATATCCAACAGTTTAACAAATCACTCCACATTATTAACCATTAAACATTTAAACCGTAGTGACTTCCTGAGGACATTCCACTATTAAATTTTTTTCTAAAGGGAAGTACCCTTTTAAAAAACATCTTGGGCCCAGTGGCGTGGCCTAGCAGCTAAAGTCCTTGCCTTGAACACGCTGGAATCCCATATGGGCGCCGGTTCTAGTCCTGGCAGCTCCACTTCCCATTCAGCTCCCTGCTTGTGGCCTGGGAAAGCAATCGAGGACAGCCCAAAGCTTTGGGACCCTGCACCCGTGTGGGATACACGAAAGAAGTTCCTGGCTCCTGGCTTCGGATCGGCATAGCATCAGCTGTTGCACTCACTTGGGGAGTGAATCATCGGATGGAAGATCTTCCTCTCTGTCTCTCCTCCTCTCTGTATATCTGCCTTTCCAATAAATAAATAAATCTTTAAAAAAACTTGATTTATTATAGTTTTTCAGAGGCAGACATTGACAGAGAGACACAGCTGTACAGAAAGATAGAGCTCTCATACCCACTGGCTCACTGCCTGCACTGGTCAGGACTGGGTCAGGCCAAAGCTAGGGTTCAGGGACTCAATCCTAATCTGGCAGGTGGATGCCAGGGGCCCAAGTATTTGAGCCATCACTACTGCCACCTAGGAACCACATGGACAGGAAACTGGAATTGGAAGCAGAGTTGGATTCAAACCTGGACACTCTGATGTAGGACCTGGACAGCTCAAGTGGCATGTTAACTGCTAGGCCAAACACCTGTCTCACACAAATGTGGCTTGTGGTTAAATTCAGAGAGAACCGGCACATGGAATGGAATGCTAACTTTACAGCCTGAGGATCAAGTTCCCATCTCAAGTCACCCATGGGACATCAGAGTCTTGGTCTTTCCTGTAAACAGGATAGTACCTTGTTGAGCAAGACATCATAAGAACCGAAGGAAGCCATGGACAGGAAGGACTATGGATATTTATTTGTGCATGTGAAAAAGCCCAGCCAAGTGTTACTCAAAACTGAATCTCGCAGAAGAACTTAACCCAGCTAACAAGTTGTCTTCTTGGGTCTAGCAAATTACTGTGAGACACAGTCAATTAGCACTTCACTGTTCTGAGCAGTTACAACGGAACTGGAAATATTCTGTAAGAGTCAACTGGATTAAAAATTGTGCAACCTTAATAGCGTGTCAGGAGACATCAGGCACTGAGGGTCTGACTGGAGGAAGGAAATCATGTATGTTACCTTCACAAGGGCAGCTTAAACATGAACAAAGGAGCAGGATTTCTTTCTCGTATGCAGTCAGCAGAGGATTCAGTTCCTAATCTTGACTGCATGAAGCCGGAGCCTCCATCCATGACCTGGAAAATGCCAGCCAGGTCGCCTCCTGCTAAGAATCCCCACTGGAGGATGCAAGTACACACCAATCTCATGGTTCATGGGGAATCCCAGAAAGGATGGGACCCACAGAGACACCGAAGCAAGGCTGCACACGGGGCCTGCAAAGGGGTCAGGCTTCCTTCGCAAGAGGCCACATCTACCTCTTGACTTAGAGACAGGGATTTGAAAGCCAGGACCCTTGGGGATTTAAAAGTCAATCGAATCACCTCCATCCACCTATGCCTCTGGCAGCAGCTCATGCGTCTGTCTCAGGGTGGACATAATAGGATTATGGCTTGGTGGCACAAGGAGTGGCCCTGCTGTGTGTGCTACTCATCATCAGCTTGGCTCAAATAGAAAACAGTTAACATCTCCCTCTCACCTGCGTGAGGGTGAGCTGCCGTGGAGGAAAGAGACAAAGTCAGCTGGGAAAAGAAGGGCTCAGAATTTGGCTCTAAAGTCTTGACAGATCCAAGGCTGGAGATTTTTTTTAGAGCAGACCTCTGTTGAGTTTAGGAACAGTATCAATAGGAACTTTGTCTTAATAGTGTCTTATGGGTTTTACAAAAGCACTACATGTAGAACCTGTAAATCTGTCTTAAAAATAAGTATATTTCAGGGCTAGTGTTATGGCATAGTGGGTTAAGCCACTACCTGCAAGACTGTCATGTTGGCATACCATATGGACACTGGTTTGAGTCCCAGATGCTCCTCTTCCTATTCGTCCTCCAACAGCCACATTCTCTGCTCCAGCCTCTGGCCAGCAGCACATGGTGAGTTGGGCAAGCCTGTTTGTGTCTGCCTTGCTATGGGTTTGATGGAAAAGCAATTCTAACATGCAAACAGTGCCAGAAAACAAGCCTGCAGCAGTACCACCAACCCTATAAAGTGCCAGCTTGTACTTCCAGCACACCAGAAAGCTGTAGGAAGTCTTAGATAAAAGAAAGCAGACAGGAGTGATGTGGAGTGGAGTGGAGTGGAGTGGAACAGAAATGGAAGGGAATGGAAGGGAATAAGTCTGCCAGGTAAAACCGGAAAGAAACACAGTTCAATAAAATGCACAGAGATGTTGCATTCCTGTTGAGCCAAAATACACCCCAACAAGCATGGAGGGAGTCACCTAGAAGCCACTTAGGTTAGGTTGGGCAGGGCAGCTAGCCCCTTCAGATCAAGTCTATGGGGCAGCTAGTCTTCTTGGGTCAAGTTGGTGGAGGCAGCCAGCCCCTTCGGATCAGGTCGGTGGGGTAGGGAGCCCCCTCCTCTCCACATTCTCATGCTAAGCAGTGGGCAGGGTAAAAGGTCCAAACCTGACACCAGTGCTTGAAGACAGATGCCTGGCAAGGGCTCTCAGGACATGTGCTGGAGCCTTCAGGAGAAGTGGCCCAGAGCTCCAGTGGAACACACAGTAGGGAGGAGGGGAGTGTTGGAAGGGCTCTCTCTGTTCCTCGCAGATTTATGTTATCTCAGCAACCGAAGCCTGGGGGTGGGCATCTTCTGAGGCACAGCCCACCAGGAACTAGGCCTAGACACAGAAGCAGCCCCCAGCATCTGCCAGGGACGCTCTATGGGGGCATGGCAGCTGTACTTGCACAGAAATCAATGGTCCTGCTTTCATCAGGAGCCTACCCAGGGATGCTGTGGGAAAGGCCATGGTTGCTGTTTGAAACTGAATGGGAACAAAGCCTCAAAGAGTTACCAAACCCTCCATATTACTGAGAATGACAGAGGAAAAAGGAAAACACATCCATGTAAAGTTGGCCCTGTGATCTGGATGGTGAGCACCACCCCAGGATAGGCAGCAGCCGTTGGGCCATCAACTCAAGCACCAGAGGACCATGCATATACGGTAATGAGGTGAGAGAAGTCAGGACTGCAAGGAGCAGATGTAAAAACAACCAGGCAATTCAGGCTTAGGCTAGCCATCAGGACAGTCTCCAGAGGTCTGCTGGGTACCAGGACCCTGGCCCCAGGGGCCTCCACGCATCTGGCAACTGAAGGTGGAGAAAGGTACCAGGGAAGGGGCTGTATCAGGCACGAGTCAGCCTGGCCCACTTCTGCTCCCTGGATCAAGCCCAGATATGAGCTCCTCCCCAGCCAGAGCAGGTGTTAGCGTTTGTGGCAGTGAGGCCAGCAAGCAGTCTTGCCAGTCCCGAGCCCACCCACAACCTGGAGTTGTTGTATCTTGTAGCATTTTCTAGCGACTCCAGGAAGGTACCCCTTCTCCCCTTTCCCTTCCAGGCACCCTAACAGCCTTGGATCAATCATATATAAAAGGAAGCATCCCCTGCCACCATTATGGTGAAAATGCAAGAGGCTTTAAGCACCTTACATGATTTTTGTCTGTCTAGAGGTGACAGGGAGAAAAGTGGAGACTCAATCCTACATATTAGCCCCCACTGTCCACACGGTCAAGGGGGAGCTATGTGGCCAGCCTGGGACATGCTGGACAGAAACTGTGAGACTGGGAGTGGCGCACACAAGCTCAGCTCATGGCTTGCTTGGAGTGGCAGCCTCTGAATGGACCTGGTCTTTACCTGTCCTTCTCCAGATGTCATAGGGAGAGGGATGAGGTATCCTTGCTTCTTTACAAATC